GGGTTATTTTAAACATATGGTTTAAAATAAACTCATGGCCACATTGTTCAATGTCCCACAAATGGCCAGATTTATACAGATATGTTCACTTGAAGAGCTCCCCATGGTTAAGTGACCCAAAAGTCACCTTCCCTCACCAACTAAGGAACTGGTTTCTGAAGATTTGCCATCTTTCCACAAAACTTTGACATTTTTCACTTCCTAAATCAAAGTTTAGACTTTTCAGCATAGCTACTGGGTTCTCCTCTTACCGAGGCTTTATAAGTATCTAAGATACATGGATGACTCTTGATTATGGATGTTAATGGGGAAAATGATCTGTGAAAATAAAATGTATTTGTAATCACCAATTGTCATTTAGCCAAATAGTTTGATTTACTTTCTCTTCCATTCCGTTTTGAATTTGTTTCACCAGCATTTAACATAGTGCTTGGCACTTAATAAATGCTTTACATTCATTCATTCATCCATTCAATCATTCTCCCTCTTCCCCCAGCTCTTCAGCAGTAGTGTCAGAAAATTGCCAACACGATTCAAAAGAGAAGTGGAAGCCAAGGGGCTAGGTAAATCCAAGCTGGAAAATCAGACCTTTGATAATCAAGAATGAACAGTGAAGTTAAGCACCTTTTGTGCGAAACACTAGGGATACAAAGAAAGACAAAAAAAAAATAAAAAATAAAAACACAGTGCCTTCTCTGTGGGAGCTCATTCTACTGGGACAGATGACATGTAAACAATTATGTACCAACAAGCTATTTGTAGGATAAATTGGAGATAATCTCAGAAAGATGACACAAAGATTAGGGTGTAATGGGTAGGCTCTTTGCTGAAGTTAAGACTTTATCACTAATACTTGAAGGAGACTGGGAGATAGAGCAAAGGAAGAAAATCATTTCAGGCATGGGGGGACTGCTAGCAAAAAATAAATAAAAGGAGTTGGGAGATGAAATATGTTAGGCAAGGACCAGAAAGGAGGCCATTCAGTGTCACCGAGTACACCCCAGAGTACGTGCTGGGATGTAAAGTATAAGACTGAAAAGATGGAGGAGGAAGACCAGAATATGAAGAGCTTTCATGGCCAAATAGGGGGCTTTATATTTGATCCTGGAGATAATCAAGAGCCATTGGTGTTAATTGAATAAGGAGGTGATATGGTCAGACCTGTACTTTAGGAAGATTCATTTGGCAGCTGAATGGAAGATGGACTGGAGTGGGCAGACACTGGAGGCAGGCAGACCAACCAACATCCACTGAAATAGTCCAAATGTCAGGTGATGAGAACCTGCACAAGTGTCAGAGAAGAGAAGGGGTTGTATATGAGAGATACCATGAAGACAGAAATGACAGGACTTATCAACTAACTAGATAAATGAGGTGAGAGAGTGAGGAGTTGAGGTGATGTCTAGGTTCTTGAGCCTGGCTGACCAGGAAGATGGTGGCATCATTGACAGCAATAGGGAAGAGAGGAGGATTTTGGGGGAAATACAATGGATTCAGTTTTGGACACATTGAGTGCAACATGTTTATGAGATAGACAGCTGAAGATACCCAATTGGCAGTTGGAGATGTGAGACAAGAGGTTGGGAGAGAGGTTAGGTATGGACAAATGTGAGAATCATCTTCACAGAGATGAAAATTGAATCAGTGTCGATGAGAAAGTGGTAAACTTTAAAAAAGGGTATAGAAGAAGAAGAGAGGGCTCAGAACAGAGTCTTGAGGGGCACCTATGGTTAATGGGTATGACCTGGACAGAGATCATGCAGATGAGACTGGCAAAGAGTGGTCAGTTCAGTAGGAGAACCAAGAGAAAGCAGTGCCCTGAAAACTTAGAGAGCAAAAAATATTAAGAAAAGGGTGATTGCTAGTGTCAAAAACTACAGAGAGGTTAAGAAGGATAAGGATGAAGGCCATTAGATTCGATGTGTGAGAGATCACTGATAACAGAAGAGAGCAGTTTCTTTTGAATGATGAGGTCAGAAGCCAGACTGTAGAGAGTTAAAAAGAAAGTAAAAGAAAAGGAAATGGAGGTGCCTATGGTAGATGGCCTTCTCAAAGAGTTTGATCATAAAAGACAGGAGAGACACAGGACGATAGTTTCTATGGATGGATCAAATAAGGGCTTTTTGAGGATGGGGGAGACATAGATGTTTTTGCAGGCAGGAGGAAAGCAGTCAGTAGACAGGGAGATGTTGAAGACTAGTGAGAGCCAGGAAAGATGGGGTGAAATGAGATCACTTGGGTGTGTAGACAGATTTGCTTTGGCAAAGAGAATGGCCTCCTCCTTATGTGGGATAAGGGAGAAACAGGAGATAATGGCAAAAAGGGAAGGGAATAAACATTTATATAGCTCCTACTATTTGCCAGGACTTGTGTTCAGCACTTTACAAGTACTTCAATTCATCTTCACAACAACCCTGAGAGGTAGGTCCTGTTATTATCCTTATTTTATAGATCAGGAAACTGAGGCAGATAGAAATTAAGTGACTTGCCCAGGATTACACAGCTAGTAAGTGTCTGAGGCTGAATTTGAATTCACATCTTCCTGACTCTAGACCCAGCACTCTATCTATCCACTGTGCTACCTAACTGCCTAGGCATCTCAACGACACAAGATAAGGAGGAAAGGAGAAAGAGAATTCTCAGAAAATGGCCTCAGTTTTTTCAGTGAAATAGGAAACAAAGTTCTAAGCTGAGAAGTTGAGGAGAAAGGGAACCACTGAAAATTTGAAGAGGAATAAACAATTTGGAAAAGCTGATATGGTGAGTGGAAGAGAGAATCAATCAGGGATGCATAAAAGGATTGCCTTGCAATGGTGAGGGTCTAGTTGAGATTATATAACATAATTTTATAGTAGATCTAGTCAGTGTATATTCATGATTTTCTCCAGCTTCATTCAGTAGCATGTGATTAGGAGCAAAGACAGCAGATGGTGAGAGTAATTCAAAGCTAAGGCTTGTTAGGGTAAGATCAGTGATACTATAAGGGGGCAAGGGACTTGAGAGAAGAGGACAGTATGGAGTCAAACTGGCTTGCCAACAGGTCAAGATGGAGAAGGCAGAAGCATGAGGAAGGGCTAATGGCCTGGGAAAGAACTGAGGGGTCAACAGATTGGAGGCTGAAATGAGGTGAAGAGGGTTAGGGGTTATAAGGCAAGAGTAAAGGTGAAATGACATCAGTTTATTATTAGATAAAAGAATTTCAGAGTTCATGAACATGGAAATGGAATATTTGCGGGTTATCAAGTACATGGCCTTTTTTATGTGTATAGTTGAGGTGGGCAAAGGAAATAGGTCATAGGAAGGAAATGAATAAGTTGAAGAACTGGGAGATTAGGGTGGTTGAGGAAGTATCAATATGTATGTTATAGTTTTCTAGTACGAGGGCAGGAATTGGGAAGGAGAGAAAGATTCTGAGCAGGCATTGAATTTGTTGAAGAAAGAAGAGTATCTAGGAGGCTGCTAAACAACAGCCACTAGACTCTTGAATGGTGGGAAATATGGATTGCTGAACTTCAAGGATGGAGAGGTTATTGAGAGATGATGGTAGAGAGACCCTGGAAGTGGCAATGGGGAGCAAGGAGTATTCCAACTCCCTACCACTGTGACCAGTGAGTCAGTGGTCAGTGGAATGACTGAAGGTACAACCAAGCTGGAAAAGGTAACCAGGGAAGCTGAGTCATCAGGAAGAAGCCAGGTCTCAGTGAGTGCAAGGAGACAGAGGGAGTAAGGAAGGAAAAGGATTAAGACGAAAGATCATTTATTACTTGTGGAGCAGGCATTCCAGAGAGCACAGTGAAAGGGGTGGGTAGCTTTACTTCTGTTGAGGGTGTCATCTCCCTACAATAAAGTTCTATTTCAATGTGTGATCATGTCATGGAGGTGACTGTAAGTTATCAAAGACATACTAATGGAGTGCATGCTCTAGCAGGTACTACCAAGCTAGAAAGGCATCAAGTGAAGGTCCTTTGATGAACTGTGATCTAAGATTAGCATCGTTATTAAGAGAGGAGAGCAGTAGCAGCAGCAGCAGCATGACTGCGAGTTGAGGGGTTTTTTTCTTTCTTTTTTTTTTGCCTCAGCAACTCAAAAAATTCTCGACTAAGGCAAGGAAGGACTATGATTTGTGTTGGTGAAAGGAATGCCCATTGTGATGAAATCCCATTTCTTTTAAAATATTAAAGTATGCTACCTCATCCTTCTTGCCCAGGCAGTCACAGAAATATATACTTCAGACATTTGAGATAAACCACCATCTATGATCTTCCATTCATTCATTTACACACTTATTATTCATTCATGCACTCAAATTATTTCTGAGGGCTATCTTAATGCAGTGTCAAGTGAAGTTTGAGCTTTCAAAGTGCAGTACAAGGAACACAAGTAGATAGAATCAGCAGAGAGAAAGTAAAGTATATCATCTTTATTGAGGGGAAATACATTTATAATGTATTTGAGATAACATTTGTAAGGCACTTAGCACAGTGCCTGGCACATAGTAGGCATTATATAAATACTAGATATTTTATTATTGCTGTCATCATCATCATCATCATTGAGAAGTCAGAGAGGATGCAAACAGGTCAGGTTTGTTGGGATCCTAGGTAGAATTGGGTAGTCAAGTGTGGTGAGGTTTTATATGGATCTTATCTGGATTAAGTGGGACCAGGCACTGAAGGGTAGGGAGTGGGGAGCCTGGACATGGTGTGCATATTAAGGTTTGGGGACTGGAGCTGATTCATGCAGGAGGGGGAGGGGAATTAGCTACTAGTTGATACTCAAACTCTCCTCTTGGGAAAAGCAGATTCTGGTCATTACTGCTGGCTTTACTTTGACAGCGAGGCTCAGAGAATTTGAGCCCCTTTCCAGCAGCATCTTCTTTTGGAATGGGGACCATCTCCAATCATTCTGATCTATGTCTTGCCACTGGACCCAGATGGCTCTGAAGAAGAAAGTGAGGCTGGTGACTTCGCACAGCCCTCCCTCACTTAAATCCAATTCACTTGCAAGTCATGGCATCATCTTCCTGATATCATGGTCCTCTTCGAGAAGGAAGGACAAACAACAATATCTTTTGGTAGGGTCCTGAAGTCCTTAAAAGACCAACATTGTGAAAGGTTCAGGGGACGTGCAAAATAGAAACACTACATAGTCTCTGCTCTCCAGGAGCTTGCATAACTAATTACCCACAGGAATCAGCTAAATTAACTCACAAGTTAGTTAGTTCACATTCATATAGTGATTTACAATAGTTATCTCATTCCTTGTTCTCATTTTATTCTTTAAAAAAAAGTTTTATTAGTTTTGTTAAGGATTTACATTATAAACACAGATTACTGCTTCCTTCCCTCCCCACTCCCACCTTCTTGAAAGGTCTCATAACAATAAGTTAAAAAATTAAACAAGCCTAACAATACAATGAAATAATATATACACAACATTCCACATCTGAGCATTCCCCTGAAAAACCTCTATTTTGTTAAAACTAATTAATAAAGGCTTATTTTCTTTCCTTCACATTCCCTACCCCACTGGGGGAAAAAGAGAAAAGGAAAACATTCCTTTTAACATGTATGCATAATCAAGCACAACAAATTCTCTTATTTACTATATACAGAAGAATATATTTGTCTCATTCTGCAATCTACACCCTTTCTGTCAGAAGGTGGAGTGGGAGAGGGGTTGGAGTAGGGAAGGGAAGGGAATAAGCCATGTATATAGCTCCTACTATGTGCCACAAACTATGTTAAACATTTTTTACAATTACATTTGATCTTCACAACAACCTGGATGGTGTGTTTCTTCATAGATAGTCTGAAATCATAAATGGTCATTGGATCAATCATAGTTATTAAAGTTTCCAAAGTTGTTTGTCTTTACAGGGTTGTTATCGTATAAATTGTTCTTCTGATTCTGCCCACTGCTCACTGATTCATCAGTTTATAAAAATCTTCAAAATTGTTATTTATATTAAAAATATTGATGTCATAGCATAAATTGTTCTGGTTTTGCTTACTTCACTCTGCATCTGATCATAGAAGTCTTATCATGTCTCTTTGAAATAATTTATTTCCTCATTCCTTATAGTACAACAGTATCCCATCATCATATGTCACATCCAAAATACTGCAATTTAATGCAGCCATTCTTCAATTGATGGGCATGCCTCTAGTTTACAGCTTTTGGTGGTTTTTTTTGTTTGGTTGTTTTTTTTTGGTGACCACAAAAGAGCTGCTATAAGTATTTTTGTACGTATAGGACCTTTTCCTATTTCTTTTATCTCTTTTGGGTATAGACCTAGTAGTGCCATACCTGGGTCAAAGGGCCACCCGCTGTTTAGTAACTTTTTGTGTATAATTTCTAATTGCTTTCTAGAACTTTTTTCCCATTTATAAATCCATCAACAGTATATCAATTTGCCTGTTTTCCCACAGCATCTCCAACATTTATCATTTTTCTTTTTTTCTCATCTTTGCCAATCTAATGAGCACGATGTGGAATCTTAGAACTGCTTTAATTTATATTTCTCTAATTAGTAGTGATCTGAAGTTTGTTGGTTTGGTTTTAATATGGCTATAGATAGCCTAGATTTCTTCCTTTGAAAATTGCCTGTTCATATCCTTAAACCATTTGTAAATTAGGAAATAACTCTTTATTTCCTATAAATTTCCTATAAATTTGAATTAGATCCTTACATATCTGGGAAATGAGAACTTTATTAGAAAAACATCCTTCAAAGATTTTTCACCCAGTTATGTTTCCCTTTTAATTTTAACTTTATTGGATTTGTTTGTGTATGGGGCAACCTTAAATTTTATGTAATAAAAATTACCTATTTTATCTTTAGTGACTCTCTCTATTCTTTGGTTATGAACTTTTATTTTATCTATAGATCTGATAGGTAATGTTATCTAAGTTTCTCTAATTAATTTATGATGTTATCCTTTATATTTAGATTATAAAAACATTTGTAAGTTACTTTGGTAAAAGGGTGTTGATGTAACTCTAATTTCTTCTATACTGCTATTCAATTTTCTCAGCATTTTTGCTAAATAGTGGATCTTTATTCTAGGATTAAGGGAAATAAGATTTTTAAAGCACAGTATTTGACACATGGTAGGCACCTAATAAATGTTTATTCTCCTTCTGCAGGAGCTGGGGTCTTTGTGTTTATTGAACAGAAGCTTACTAGATATATTTGCTTTTGTGTTATATATATAGCTAATCTGTTCCAGTGATAAATCTCTCTACTTTTCAACCAGTAACAAATTGAGGAAATCTGTTAAGTTCTTTATAGTTAGGAAATTGAAGCTCAGAGATATTAAGTGATTTGGCAGAGATCATACAAGTAGCAAATAGGCTAATCAGGACCATGCACTTGAGTACCAAAATATAAATCTCAAAATGACTGCAGAAGAACAAAATGAAAGAGACATGGTTAGGCACCACTTGATCTGAGAAAAGAATTAGGAACTTTAGTGGACTGCAAACTTCATATGAGTTAGCACTGTTATTTAGGAGTCAAAAACAAACAGACAAACCCTAATGCAATCATGGGCTGCATTAAGAGAAACTTAGTTTCTAAGAAAGGAGAAGTGATCATCCCACTGAACTTTTCCCTGGTCAGACTTCATCTGTAGTATTATTGCTCAACTTTAGGCATCATGGTTTGAGGATATGGTTAAGCTGGAAAAGGTGGAGGTCTTCAAACAGAAGGTATTTCCTTTTGAATATGCAGCACTGGATTGCCTCTGAAATCCCTTCTAGCTCTGCAATTCTTCGAGTCTATGTTGTGACTAGTAACTTAGCCTTCTGACTCCAAGTCCAGTGGTATGCCGCTATACCACACTATAGAAGTAGAAGACTCCCTTCAAAGCCATTACTTTTAATAATTGACAGGTGAAAAATCCGCTGAGGTATTATTTCTTTTTTTCCCCTAACTTGCCTTTTCATAACTCCAACCATTCTGCCTTGCATGTTGAAGGTCTAGCCTTCTCTTCTTGCCATTCCTTATCTGACAGTCTCCAAATATTCATTCAGCAATGTCAGATTCTAGAAATCATAGAAACACAGAACAGACCCAGAAGAGGTCTTAGGGATAACCTAATCGAATCCACTTATTTTACAGATGAAGACACTGAAGACCAAAAAGGGTAAGGCACCTGCTCTTGGTCATTCAGTTGGTAACTAATAAACCCAGGTCTAGAAGCTAGGTGTCAAGATTCCCAGATAAGTTCTATTCCACTGGTCCAGATTTCTTTCCCTTTTTTTCCACCTAAAATCCAGTATTAGTTTTCTAAGGATCACTTGCATTTTTGGTCTTAACTCTAATTATTAAATGAAAGCTTCTTCCCATATAACAAAGAACTGCAAATATCACAGAACATTTGGGACATATATCTTGTAAAGGCTAGTTCTGATTCCCCTGAAATCACCTAGTAGATGGCCTCCAAGTGTATCTAGTAAATGGAAGAAGACCAAAAGGGAAGCAAAGGGAATAAATATTTATTAAATGCCTACTATGTGCCAGGCATTGTGCTAAGTGCTTTACATAAATTATCTCATTTGACCCTATATATATGGTTATATATAAGGTTTAGTCCCTTATCATTTCCTCCACCAATACATGCTTTTTCTATGTTATTGACAAGGGCAAAATTGGTTGATTCAAAAAAAAATTTTTTTTCAGCCAAAGACAGGGTTTATTAGAACATCTGTCATGTTGGGCAGACTCTTAAGGAGTCTGAATGTTAGTGAGTTATTGGCTAGTTTATAAGAATCTGAGCCTGATTGATTCAAACTTAACAAGTATTTATTATATGCCTTCTTGTTTAAAGGCACTGTATTAGGTTATTGGTATAGAAAGAAAGTTTGGAAATGATACCATCCTGCTCCCATGGCTCTTACCATCTAACAGACTATAATAACTATTCAGTCATTCAGTTGTGCCTGACTGTTCTAATTCCAACTCTTGCCACTTCACCACACCTTCTTCAGCTTTGCTGCTGTACCCTAAGGACCACTGGGCTTGTTCCATTGGACTTGCAACTGTCCCTTCTTGTATGTGTTGTTACCCTTTATTAGAATGTGAGTTCCTTGAAAGCAGGGACTGTTGCCTTTCTATTTATACCCTCAGCATTTATTACAATACTCTGCACATAATAGCATTCAATAAATGCTGCTTCATTCATTCATTCATTTGTTCTTGAATCAGCTGTCTGTGCAGCTGATACTCTACCAACTTGTTAGGGCAAAGCCCAAATTTACACTAGAAGAAAAACATAATGTGCAAGTAAAAAAAAAACCCTCCAGCCTGATCTATTTAAAGTTACTGATGCTGAAGAATGGGATATACAGAAGAAAGAACAATGACACAGACTACAATAATTTCACACAGCAGCTTAGCACATGTGAAATAATTGCCGTAACAAAGACAAAAGAACCTGATCATTTCTTCAGACAGCAAACAATTAACTTATTCGCCAAGTGAAGAGATATGGCAGCCTAAAACAATACTTGTTTGGAATATAAACTTATTCACAAAATCTCATAGAAGAAGTTAGGGAGTATTTGAACAATGTTGTTTTTCAGTTGCGTCCAATTCTCCATGACCCCATTTTAGGGTTTCTTGGCAAAGATATTGGAATAGTTTGCCATTTCCTTCTGCCACTCACTTTAAATATGAGGAAACTAAGCAAACAGGGTTAAGCGGCTTGCCCAGCCAGTAAGCATCTGAAGTAGGATTCAAACTCATGAAGATGAGTCTTCTCAACTCCAAGCCTAGTGCTCTATCCACTGCACCACCTAGCTGCCTTCATTGCCTAGCAATGTTACCTCATAAAACAATGAGAAGTAGTAGAGGGAAAAGCCAGTTTAAAGGAATTTTGTTGAGATATCCAACTAATCAAGCACATCCTGAAGGCATTTAAGGAGAAACAAAAATAACTGTTAGGTTAAAGATGGAACATATTTGCAGGGATATTTATTATAAACTCTTTGCACCATCAAGGACCATGGAACCATCACATTTGTTTTCTAAAAGTCACAGTCCTAGATTTGCTTCTTGAAGAATTAGAAATGGCACTGGAGGAAA